CCCTGTGGTAGTAGAGGTCGTAGATTTGGTCCCTGGATCTATTCCGGAGAGAATCCAATATGCCACTGTGGATGATTGGAGGATGGATTGTCCCTGGTGGATTGTCTTGTGGATAATCCTGTAAGCGGCCTGCTAAGGTTCTTTTGCTTCACGCGATCATGAATGATGCAATGTTACACAAAGGGGCCTTGAGCCAAATGTTGCAGGAGATCAAGTGTTCAGTAAACCAAACACACACCCCCCCCCCGTACGAGGGAACTTTATGTATACCGTGAACGGGCCGTTCACCTTTTGATAACCAAGTCTTAGGTTTTTTAAAGTTCTAGATGGTCCCAGCCCAGGAGAGGCCCAGCCAGGAACCTTGATTTTTAGAATTGTTACATTTTTAAACTTCAATTCTAAAAAATCTCAAAATTCTAAAAATTAGGCAGAATTCTAGATGGTCCCAGCCCAGGAGGGGCCCAGCCAGGACCCTTGATTTTTAGATTTTTTAGAACTTTAGAACTTTTAGATTTTTTCTAGAATTGAGTTCTAACAAGTTCTAAAAGTCGGACCCCAAAATTTCTAAAAAATCTAAAGATCGGACCCTCGAAATTAGTTTTGGAATTCCAGGACCCTTGATTTTAGATTTTTTAGAATTTTTAAAACTTTTAGATTTCTTTTTTTAATAGAATTGAGTTCTAAAAATTCTACAAGTCGGACCCCAAAATAATCTAGATTTTATAGAATTCAGTTCTAAAAATCTAAAAATCGGACCCCCGAAATTAGAATTTATAGAATTCTGGAGGGCCCAGCCAGGACGCTTGACTTTTAGATTTTCAGAACTTTTAGAATTGAGTTCTAAAAATTCTGAGCATTCTAAATTTCGGGGGTTCGATTTTAGATTTTTTTAGAATTCAATTCTAAACGGTCTAAAAATAGTAAAAATTGGACCCCCAAAATTTAGAATTTTTAGAATTCTAGATGGTCCCAGCCCAGGAGGGCCCAGCCAGGACCCTTTCTAGATTTTTTAGAACTTTTGAAATTTGAGAATTGAATTCTCAAACATCTAAATTTTCGCGGTCCGATTTTTAGAATTTTGAGACTTTTTAGAACTTTGAAAACTCAATTCTAAAAATTCTCAAAGTTCTAAAAATTCAAAAAAAATCTAAAAATCAAGGATCCTGGCTGGCCTGGCAGGGCCCCTCCTGGGCTGGGACCATCTAGAATTCTAAATTTTGTGGCAATCTTGAACTTTTAGAATTGAATTGTAAAAAATCTAAAAATTCGAAAAATTCGGACCCCAAAAAGTCTAGAATTTTCAGATTTTTTACAATTCAATTCTAAACGTTCTAAAAATCTAAAAATTCGAATTCTTCTTAAAAATTGAGGGTCCTGGCAGGGCCCCTCCTGGGCTGGGAACATTCTAGAATTCCACAAAGCTCTAAATTTCGGGGTCCGACTTCTATTTTTTTTGGAATTTTAGAACTTTTAGAATTGAATTCCAAAAATTCTAAGTTTTTGGGGTCTGAATTTTGGAATTTTTAGAACTGAATTCTTAAAGTTCAAAAAGTTCTAAAAATCTAAAAAATCAATTGTCCTGGCAGGGCCCTTCTTGGGCTGAGACCATCTAGAATTCTAAAAACAACATTGAAGAATTTATGAGAGTTCAGTTCTTTTGTTTCAAAATCAAAAAACATTAGGCATCCTGCGCGCCCCTGGGCTAGGACGTCAAAGGCATGTCGCCCCTTTGTTCGCGAGTAAGCAGAGAGGCTGGAAAGAGTGAGGAAGGGATGGGAAGGTGGAGGACATGCCTCTCACTAGCTCGTAAAAGGGGCAGGAAGAGAAATGAAAGATGCTTCTCTTTTTAGCTGTTGGAAACGGGCAATTCCTTCCCTCCTCATCCTTTCATGCTACTCCTTTCTCTTCTCCACCGCCTTTACCCCCAACCAAAAGTAGCTGTGTGTTGGATAAAGGCTTCGGAAAGGAAGGATGGAGAGTGAGGGATAGAGATGAGTGCTGGACCAGCCCTCACAAGGCTTCTCTCTTCGTTCGTCCATCATTATCTCTTCATCCACATCCTTTCATATCCTTGCTCCTTGTCAATAATATATTAATAATAAAGATCTTAGAATAAAGACGAGGAAAAAAGATAGAAAAGGACAGGCAATAGAGCTTCAGCTCGTCTCATGCCGTTGCCAGCTCTAGAGCCAACATAAGACAGGGAGAAGGGATGACATCTCTTTCTCTCACGTAGAACCCTTGCCATTATTCAAGAATGAAGAGATGGCGAGGAGAGGGGAGATGACCAGCTCCTCCATCATTGTCCTCTCTTATCTGCTAGAGCTGGGGCCAAGGAATGTCTCTACCTGCCAGATAAACCAACAAAAGAGATGGAGGGTGGGCATATGATGGCTAATGAAAGAGAAGGCCATCAACACCCTCACATTATCTCTTCTTTTTACCTCTCATTGCCTATCTCCCATTTCTCTATCTTCTAAATCTTGGAGGTGGATGAGGGAGGAGATAGGATGAGAAGGCCTTCCCACCCACTCTCTTCCCTCAGCCACCTCCCAATCCCCTTTCTCTCGCTTGCAAGTGATGATGAGTGAAGAAGTGAGCGAAGAGACCGGACAAGCAAGGAAGAGAAAGGGAAAGAGATGTTACCATTATAAAAGCGTTTCCAAACTCGAAGAAATATTGAACAAGAATGCATTGCATCTCTTTCATTCCCTTTCTCCAGTCCTTTGCCTATCTTGTCATTCCCAAGAATACTAAAAGAGACTGGGAATGACCGGTAAAGATGATTGAGAAAGAGATGGAGAGTGAACGGTTAGACCATGAGCTGGGACAATCAGGGCATTCCAGCTCGTCTAGCTTTCATTCACTTCTCTTCACCTCCCCCTTATTGGGAATGAGAAGCTGAATAGAGTCGAAGGAAGAGGAACTTATTTGTACCCGCTGGAAAGAACTGGCCAGCGGGTGGGATTTCCTCTGGTCACCTCCCACCTAATCACCTTCCTATCTCTCTCTCCCTCGTCATGTATTTCCTTTCTCCTTTCCATTCTCACCGTTGCAACGGCTAGGAAAGGAGAAGGGTAGGAAAGAGCATTACAATGACGAACCCAGATGGCATGAACGACATTGTGGGTTCGATGACAGGACTGAGGGAAACGAGATGTTGGTGATAGAGAAGGACCAAGAGCTGGGACAATCAGGACATTCCAGCTCGTCTAGCTTTCATTCACTTCTCTTGACCTCCCCCCTTTCCCAAAGAGGGAAAGACAAGCTGAATAGAGGTGAAGGAAGAGGAATTCAATTTGTAACCGCTGGAAAGAACTGGCCAGCGGATGGGATGTTTTTTTGGTCACCTCTCACCTAATCACTTTATCTCTCGTCATCTGTTTCCTTTCTCCTGTCCATTGTCATCGTTGCAACGGCTAGGAAAGAAGAAGGAATGAAGAGATAGGAAAGAGAATTGCATTCCTTTCTCTTGCAGAGAATCCTCGCTCTCTAGCTTCTAGATCTTGGAGGTGGATGAGGGAGGAGATTGGGTGAGAGGGATGATAAGGTAAGTGCCACCCTTCCCCCTCTCTTCCCTCACCCACCTTCTCAATAGAAGGTTCTTCCAAATCTTGGATGAGGATGAGAGTGGAGATAGGATGAGAGGGAAAGGATGATAAGGTGAGCCCAATCTCCTTTTCTCTCGCTTGCAGTTGATGATGAGTGAAGAAGTGAGCGAAGAGTCAGGACAAGCAAGGAAGAGACAGGGAAAGAGATGTTACTATCACAAAAGCGTTTCCATATTCTAAAGATACAAAGAAGAGATGCTTTCCATCTCTTGCATTCCTTTTCTCCAGTTTATCTATCTCTCATCTCACTCCCGAGAACACAAAAGAGAATGGGAATGACGGGTAAAGATGATTGGGTAAGAGATAGATAGAGAGTGATCGGATAGACCAAGAGCTGGGACAATCAGGACATTCCAGCTCGTCTAGCTTTCATTCACTTCTCTTGACCTCCCCCCTTTCCCAAAGTAACTTATAACTGGGCAAGAGATTGGGAAAGAGAAGCTGGATAGAGGTGAAGAAAGAGGAATTCATTTGTAGCCGCTGGAAAGAATTTCCTTTCGCCTTTCCATTCTCACCGTTGAAACGGCTAGGAAAGAAAATGAAAAGATAGGAAAAAGAATTAGAATGAAGAATTCAGATGATATGAAAGACACCCTGGGTTCTATCACATGACTAAGGGAAACAAGATGGCTCCTTCCCTACTCCCTCATCTCTTTCCCCGCCTGGTGAGGATAGAAATGAAAGGGAGAAATTATACTGCAGAAGGTATCTCTGAGAAGTGCGTGTGTGATAGAGATGACAGACAGACTGATGTAGGCAAGAGATGGTCACCCTCCCCAGCCAATGAAAATTGGGTGAGGGGATGGGGGAGGGACAGTGTGATGAGTTTTTCCTCTCTCACCCTTCTCTCCTGCCTCCCATCACCCAACCTCTGCTTTTGAGAAAAAAGTTGGGGTGACTTCAGAAGTCTTATCAATGGAACAAAATAGAGACATGACAGTGATTCATAGGTGGTACAGAAATGACCAAGAGATAAGACTGAGATTGCAACAATCCATTTATATTTGGGTCTGGAGATTCTATAGACAGGAAATGCCTACCAATAAGATCTCATGGAAGGACGGGCTAAGGAATCTCCATTGCTTATTTCACCAAGAGCTGAGAAATACAATTAAACATGAGATACGTTAAAATTTAATTTTGAATTGGAATTAGTCTCGGTTGACCTGACCGTGCAAATCTGTGCCACGCTGCTATCCCTTTTTTCGTGCAGATCAAGTGGCAAGTGCTGAAAAAGGAGCTTCACATTATACGCATTGTTCCCTGCTACCACCCCCCCCCCCCCCCACATCACACTGCGGGCCAGCTTTTGGTGAAGCGGCCTAGAAGATGAACGAGGTGGCGGATGATACCTCAACTCAGCCCGCTTTCTCCTGACCGACTATAGTTTCATTGGCCAAGGGGCTTCCCGGAGCCAGGCCCAACTGTGCCACGCATGAACATGCACTCCATGGTTCTTCGCGGTTCCGAGCTGAATTTTGGAATTCCAAGGCTCACCTCAGTTGCACTTGTTGGCCAGTGACTTGTGTTGCGGCGCACGCGCTGTGTAAGTTGTAGCACGCAGCAAAGGGCAGGGCAAAAGAAGATAGGGTGAAAGGCAGAAAGTAAAGGAAGGAGAGAAGCGCAAAGGGAAGAAAGGTCGGGCACGTTCAGCCCTTAGAACTGGGCTCGCGAAGACGTCTTCAAAGCCGCTGAGCCAGATTCATAACCTGGATGTCATTGGGCGGGGACAAACACTGAGTGACGTGCAAGGGCCACACAAGCTGGACCAGGACCCAGGGAATCTGGCAAGATCTCGATGTCCCTCAAAGGACAAGAGCTTCTGATGCGTGGTGCCGAAAATCAAAACTGATTGCCGCGGGCGAAACACAGCTCGATCAAGGGCAATCATGCTACAACGAGCTTCGAATCAGCATGTGTTCATCGCAGGTATGCGTGCCTTGAAGTTGTGCCAAAAAAAGCTCCTTTGCTCTGATCGCTTAAGAAGAGGGAAGCCCCGTCTGCCGCAGCCACGGCCCTCAGCGCAATTGACTCCAAGTTTGCCATCTGAAGCTACTTGCCTTCGTCGCGGGCTGAGTCACGCGCGGCCCCCGCTTGCGAGAACTGGGTGCTGAAGAGCAGCGCGACATTGCCTCCCGGTTTTTGTCCAAAAGCGTGAGCACATCCGTACATGGATGCACGAATTCGTGGGTGCGTGGGTGTGCAATCGGGTGCTTGGCATGGCGTGAGCGTGAGCAAGGGAGTGGGTGGGTGGGTGGGTGGGTGGGCGGGTAGGTGCGGCGTGTGTGGGGGGGCACGTGCGTACGTGGGCGCACGTGGGTGTGCAGCGATTGTGTGCGTGGCGTCGTGTAGTGTAGCGTAGCGTAGACTAGCGTAGCGTTATGTAGTGTTGAGTTGTGTGGTGTTGCGTGGTGTTGTGTTGTGTGGGGTGTGTGGGGTGTGGTGCGTGGTGTATGGTTGGGGGTGGGTCCGGGTGTGTGTGGGTGTTGGGTGTGTGTGTGTGGGGGTGTGCGTGTTTTTCTGCGCGTGTGTGTGTGTGTGTGTGTGTGTGTGCGTGTCTGTGTGTGTGTGTGGAACCTCTTAGCTCATGGAGGATGAGCTCCAGACCTCGCGCACTTTGATATGGGCTGTTTGTCCACGTAAGTGCCAGCGCCTCTCCTGACAGTGCTGAGCATACATAGCGCCCATTCGGCTTGGATCGAGAGTGTCGTGTTCGTGAGGACCCCTCAAACGTTCAGCTTCTACTGCACTTTGGTTGTTCAGATTCAGTTTTTCGTTTGTGCGCCTACCAGGCAGCGTATGAGGTCTCTCACGCTCCAGCGCGCACTCTCGTCCTTGCATCCTCCTGTTTTGCGACGTGTCTGCCTGCACTTGCGCATTGTGTGCTGCATTGTGAGTGGTCGGTCGTGTTTTGCGTCTTGAGAATGGATCTGTTTGTGCACTTGCGGCTCGTGTCCTTGTCTTGGCTTTGGGCTGTCTAGCGGCCCAACGCGGGGCGCCAGTGATTCGGGCTTGCCGCCAGCTGCTTAATTTCAACCCACCACCAGTACACAAGCCCGGTCTTCCCCTTCCCCTTCTGCCGTGTTTTGCAGCCCCGCTCCGCCAGACATGCCCAGGCCGCCTACCGGAGAACAACAGCTGCTCGCACCCAACATGAGGTCCCAACAAACTCCTTCAAAGCAAAAAGGTTGGGCGGGTTCAAAACAAGGTGGTCGAAATTCAAAAAGGCCGGAAACCTCACTGCCAGATGTGCCATGCGTGTTCTTCAGCAAGGGGTAGTGGGTCGGTCTCTCTCTCTCTCTCTCTCTCTCTCTCTCTCTCTCCCTCCTGTCAAATATCATGCTGTACTACTTGTCCCTTGTACATGCATGATGTACACTACTCGACCGCAGGCCTTGAGTCTACAAGCAAAAGAGCGCATGCTGGGAAACTACATTTGTGTTTGTGACAGCAAAAACAACACTTGCACTTGTAGTAAAGTAACGACGTATTTTAACGTGGTAGCGGAGCTGAGATCCTAAACATAGGGGAGCTCCAGTAACAGCAGTAAGTACTACAACTGCACAGGCAACCACATGCCCAACTACTACGACATGTCAGGAGAACCAGCAGCAGCATCAGCACAACCAACTACAGGAGCAGACAACGGGCCCACAGCAGAGGAGACAATAGGAGCCACAACTACGGGAACAACACAGGAGCAGGAAGACGTCCAAAGGCTACACAAATACAAACTGCCACCACCGTTCTTCACTGGTGACTACTCACAGTACGAAGAGTGGCTGTTCAAACTACAAGCATACCTCGGACTCATCGACCGAGACTTCGACATGGTACTACAACTAGCACAAGCAGCTACAAGACAAATTGAAGATGCAGACATCAGAGCCCACATACGCGACCCTACACAGGCAGCAAAAGCAGTAGACCTCTCACGAGATCTACACTACATCCTCATCAACATCTGCCAAGGTGCAGCAGCTACAGTGGTCAGACAAAACCGCTACAATGCCAATGGATGTGAAACACTACGGCTTTTGCGCAACAGGTTCAGCCTACCAGTAGGAACACGCAGTGTTGGCTACCTCACCAAACTACTGGAACCTACATTCAATGAAGCACAATTTGAAGAACAATTCCTACAGTGGGAGTATGACATCAACCGCTACGAGAAAGACAACGGCACAGCACTACCAGATGGAGTGAAGATTGCAATACTACTCAACAAGACCAAAGGAGCACTTCAACAACATCTCCAACTACGTGCTGGACAGATCACGAACTACAACGAGATCAGAGTTGTCATCCTGGACTACTACAAGACCATATCTGCATTCTCAAGAGCGAGCTCAGCGGTTGGCACAAACTACAATGGTGGAACAGCACCCATGGACGTGGACAACATTTGGAGGAAAGGAAGAAACTACAAAGGCAAAAGCAAATATGGAGGCAAAGGATCCTACAAAGGAAACAAAGGAAAAGGCAAGTACAGAAACAAAGGCCACTACAAAGGATTCGACAAAGGCAGCAAAGGAAACTACAACAAAGGAGGATACAACAAGAGCAAAGGAAAAGGCTACTCAGGATCTAAAGGATATGGATCAAGCAAAGGCTACAAAGGCCAAAGAAACTATAGCAAATCAAAAGGAAAAGGAAACAACAACTACACAACATGCCATCGATGTGGCAAGCCTGGCCACTGGGCACAAGACTGCAGAGTGCCAGTATGGCACATAGGAGAAGGAGAAGAACTACATCCACTAGAACAAGAACAAGCAGATCATGACAACAATGAAGAACTACCTCAGGATGTGAACGACACTTGGGACTGGTACTACGAAGGAGAAGAAGGACAACACGAGGTGAACTACATGGAGGAGAACTGGAACGACTACGACTATGACAACAGCTGGGATTGGAATGACAACAGCTATGAGGACACAGCAAACTACATTGGAGGCATCAACGAGTCACACCTCACCATTGGACACATCAGACAAGCAAACTCACGACTACACAAGCACAAATCCAAATCACTACTTGGCAAGAGAACAACACACAGAACATCATGGAACGACCACAGCAAGAGCTTTCAACAATTCCTACAAGAAGACAACACACAGCCACACTTTGACATAGCAGCAGCAAGACAACAACAAAGGAACAAGAATATTGAGGACACTATCACACACTACAGCATGTACTCCAACTTCAAGTCATACCACCGCCTGTTGATCGACTCAGGAGCATCTACACATGTTTGCCCGAAGGACTACGCACCAGACCTACCGCTACGACCTTGTGGAGAATCGGTTCCACAACTCTACACGGTTACAAACAAGAAGATTCCTGTCTACGGCATCAAGTACGTTCCCTACAAGCAGGACAACTTCAGGATCATGATACCCTACTACGTTTGTGATGTGAAGTATCCAATCCTCAGTGCATCAAGACTACTTGATAGAGGATATGGACTTGACTTCACTCCACGACACTGCACCATCACACATGGACAACAACAAGCACACCTCATAAGACACTCAGGACTTTTCTACCTACGAGCAGAGAAGATCGACATCCCTACAGGATTCGACATCTACCCAATGACTACAGACAATGGAAAATCCACTGCTGTGATTCAACCTACAGAGAAAACAGTACAACAACAAGAACAAATTGCACCACTCACCCACACAGACCAAGGACTACGACAGATCCTTGGTGGAAACACTGACTACTGGAAACTTGGTGGTGACTACGCATCAGACGCCATCAGAGTACACAAACGACCACGCAAAGCATTCTTCACACCACACAACAGCGGTTGCCCAATACCTGAAGGAGAACTAGATGATTGGCGACTAACCATCATCAACAGACAAGGGCAAGAGCAAGAACAACTACAAGAGAACCCAACAAAACTTTCCAAGCAAGAACTACAACGAAGACTAGAAGGTGACAACTGGACTGGAGAAACCAGATTCAGAAGAAAGATAACACCTACACGCAGAGCAACATCAAAGACCACACCAACAAGGCAGAGCTCACAACCACAACGGCTAATGGACACACCACCAACCAGATCAAAGATCCAACTACGAGCACCACAAAAGATATGGAGACCTAAAGCAGCACCTTCTACAAATCTTGACACCACACAACCAAAGGAGACAATCCACAGACCACTCACAGCACAGGAGGACAACCAAGACTACTGGGAAAGACAAGGTGAATACTGGATAAGACACCACACAACACTTAGAACAACTCTATTCACTCCAACAGATGGACCAGGACATCCACCAATCAGCACACTTGAACCTCACAGAACTACAATCACTCACAACAACTTTGGAGAAGTTTCGCAACGCAAAGATGACTGGACAGTCATGGGCAACGCAGCACTACCATTTCAATGGAAAGGAACAACAAGGTTCACCGTGAAGAAAGACTACGAGTACATCCAGGAGAACCACGATGAGGAACAACAACACGAGCATCATGAAGCACACAGAGCAATAGGACTACGACAACCTCAGCAGCCCACTCCACAACAAATAGCAGAACACAACTTGACACACCTACCATACAGAAATTGGTGTCCAATTTGCGTTCAAGGCAAAGGACGCCAGGACAACTACAAGAAACAACAATCACGACAACCTATCATCCAAGTGGATTTTGCCTATATCAAATCACAACAAGATCCGAAGACCATACCAGTCTTAACAGCAGTTGATGTTACTACACAACTGTGCATGGCGGTATTGGTTCCGGACAAACCATCAATGATGGACTACATGATCAACAACCTACAAGCATTCATCTTTGAATGCGGAAGAACACAAGGCATACTACAAAGCGACAACGAAGACACACTCAATGCACTACTAAAAGCAACAGCATCTAAAGTCGGCTCAATGACTGTACGACATTCACCATCCTACAGCAGCAACAGTCAAGGAAGCGTTGAGCGACTACATAGAACACTTCTCGGACAAATCCGCGTCGTCAAAGCTCAGGTTGAAAGCAACTACAGCATGACGATGTCCACAAAGCACTGTCTACTACCTTGGATAGTACGACATGCAGCATGGACGGTAAATCGCTACGTCGTTCACTCAGACGGCTA